ACGATAAACAGCCATGGTGTCCGAACCGACTACCCCTGGGATCAGAATGGAAAGCAATGCACAGCGCGATCTTAGCTACCCCCAACCCCCTTTCCTGCCGGAATCCTGCGGGACGCGGGCGAGTACGTCAAGTAGACCCTCCGGTCATGCAGAAAGCTGCAGTGGGGCGAGGCGCGGACGCGGAGAGGAGTGCGGGTGGTAGTCTGCTCCGTTGATCGCCAATACCGTCGAGGCGCTCGCTGGACTCGCCCGGGACCCGTCGTTCACCCACCTCCGCCAAGTGGATGTGACTCTCGAGCAGTACGTTTAAGAGGGAGCGGGCAGCTGCCGCGCTGCCGCGCTGCCGCGTCCGTGCACCTGAAGTGCCTCCTCGAGCCGCGGCCCCAGCAGCCCGTCCCATGCTGTCTTTCATGTCCAACTCGATCAAAAACGGGGCCGATGGCGCGGCGGCCGTGTGCACCACCAGGAGCACGCCGTCGTACGTGTGTGGCAACGGGTTCAGGTAGAGGGCCGGAGCGGAGGAGCGTGGGCAACCGACTGATTCCGAAGAGCGCTCTCCTATACCTTCCGTATAGCTCCATCCTTGTCGCACTCATGGGGCAGCACCCCTTGAGCGCTCTTCGGAATCAGTCTGCAGGAGCGTCAACGACGACAGCGCCTTGATCAGCGCAGCGGCCCTAGGCCAGAGGCCTCGTGTAGCACCCGACCAGGCCAACGCACCGACCAGGTCGGAGTCCTGCAGGTGGCGGGCGCGGTGCATGAACTTGACAGCCGCGGGGGTGACGGGTCACTCCACGTAGAAATTGGGCCCGAACGGCCGCAGCCGGCCGAGCGTCTCATGGTTGCGGAGCAGGAGGGTGGCGTGCAGGGAGCTGGTCTCGTCGCGGTCAGCTCGAGCTCCCGGCCCGGACAGCGCAGAGGGCGTACGTCAGGTGACGAACCACACAGACGACGAGTGCAGCAGAGGTTCATTGCCACGGCACTGCAGCTGGCCACCCTCCAGTGTCATACTGAAGCCGCTGTGTGTCCTCCTGGATCAGCTCGAGGTCCACGGCGATCACCTTGCCGCCGGCCTAGCCGGCGAGCGGTGTCGTCGGGGCGGGGAGCTCGGGCGCCAGGAGGGTGATGTACCAGGTGGCTGATTCACGCCGCGCACTTTCGAATTTATATACTGTACCACATACACGGGTGCGGGCGGGTTGCCTACTCGCAGGGGGCAACAAGGAGCCGTGGGCAACGACGATAGAGGTCGTGACAACTTATCTTGACCGAAGAGGCCTCTGAGCTCGCACCCGGAGAACAAAAGAAATACAGGACGCTCAGGAATCGCACCGACCCGGGCCGAATAGGCCGAATAGGCCGCCCCCGTGACCGGCCGGGGCCACATGGGCTGCAGCTCGGCTTGGGTAGGGCTGCACTTCTGGCGCGGACTGAAATCCTTCGGTCAAGATAAGTTGTCAGGACCTCTAGGCAAGCCCGCCCGCACCAAAGCATGCGGTACAGTATAACTACGAAAGCGCGCGGCGTGAGTCATTAACCTGATACAGGGCTGACTACTTGTCGGACAGCGACTCGGGCGCACGGCCGCGTGGCCCCACACCTTGAAGAGCCTGCCGTCGGACCTGCCCTGTGCCCCCAGAAGCTCGGTGCCGTGCAGCGCGTTTCGTATGCATAGGGAGAGAGGGTGGGAGGGGGGAGGTGGCTCTGTCATCTTTTAGCCTAGAATTTCACCACACGAGTTAAGTCAAGCACAATTTTAGATCTGATCAAGCAGACGCAGTCGTTTGCCCCCCCCCCCCCAGTGTATTTCGACTAACGGAAGAAGAAGAATAGCGGGTAGAACTTGAAGGTTTCTGATTAGTTGAGCACTTGCCACCACTACCGGCGTGACGTAGAGGCGGGAGGCTCTCGATTAATCGGTAACCTTATGTTCTACCCGCTATTCTTCTTCCTCCGTTAGTCGAAATTCACTATATCCAGTGGAACCATCCCTCTCCGTCGCTGTCGCTGTCGCTCAAGTCTTGGTACGGAAACACAATGCCGCTCGGCGTCGAACCAGCTGCAAGTCGATCTGTGGTTCCCTACCCATTACTCGTTGCTCTCGGGCGCTAGCGGGGCAGAGGAGGGGGTAGAGAGAGCCGAGGGAGCCACCTGAACCTTGGACGTCCA